GAGTTCAGAAAGGTGGAAGACCAGTCCAATGTCACAGAGCCCAGTGGAGTAATTATAGGGTTGCTGCAGGGTGCTACGGTTACACAGATGAGTCGGATATGGTCCCTGCCATCAAGGAGCTGAGGCATTTGTGACTAAAAATATAATTATCTCATTTGGATAGCCTGGTCCAGCCATCAGGACTGGACCTAGCTCATTTAACACCACATCCTTTTCTTTCTTTCTCTTTTTCTCTCTTCCTCTCTTCCTTTCGTTCCTTTCCTTTCTTTCGAGAGGGTCTCCTATGTCACCCAGGCTGGAGTGCAGTGGCACAGTCATAATTCATGGCAGCCTCGACCTCGTGAGCTGAGGCAATCCTCCCACCCCAGCCTTGCTGGTAGCAGGGACTACAGGCGTGCACCATTATGTTGGTTATCTTAAGGGTGAAATGAGATCACGCATGTAAACAGCTATTATTATTATTAGCACTTGGTAATTAGAACCTGTTAATTAATATTGCTCAGTAGTCCCTGGGGCTGGGGTTTGGAGAAAGAATGGAGAGGCTGGAATCTGCCCCTGCAGAGGCCCTGAGACCATCACCAGCCCCCTTGTGGTTTGGAAGAAGGGTGTGGGACAGGCTGGGAGGAGGGCGGAGACTCTGGTGACCTGGAGAGTAGGACTTGTGATTTGAGCAGGATGACCAGGATGACCACCTGCAGCCGGAGGTTAGTGGTGGGGTTTGGCTGTAACCTCTGGACTCCTCCTAGAGTTGGGGTGTGTCAGGTAGACCTAATAGGGGGAAAGCCGAGGGACGGGGAGACAGGCTGCCTGGGTGAGCACTGCCTCTGATAGGCTGGAGACCCGAACTGGAGGCTGGACCCGAACTCGAGGCTGGAGTCACAAGCCTTCCTCTTCTTACCTGAAAACAGGAAGAATCCTGGAATGACTTTCTAGGGTGGTTGTGAAGTTTGGATTAAGTAATCCAGGTACCATAGTTTGGATGATGCGGTGAATATGTATTTTATCTCAAAGGATTCTCTCAACCATGCTATGATGTAGGGTACATAGTCACTAAGCCACCAGGCAGGGGAAGGGGCAGTAAAAGAACATCTTAGAATGCAGAGTTGAACTTCAGTGCCGAGCAGTGAGGATGCTGCTCAGAGAGGGGAAATGAATTGCCTAAGGTCACACAGCGCGTGGGCCTTGAGGTCAGAGCTGCTTCCCCCTTCTCAGCGCTGCCATACTCGGGATCCCACTCTCCCCCTCGGGTCCTTTCTATGGCTGTGTCTGGAGGGGCCCATCTTAGGAAGGTGGCTTTGCTGGCCGTCACCCGCTGTGGAACACGGGGCACAGGGGGTGGGGAGAGCCGGCCCTGCACCCCCACCGGCCGGGCGAGGGGCGTCTCCTGGTGCTGGCCCGCGCTGCTTCCCCGTCGCCCCGCGGCCTCCCTCCGCCTCCCTGGCGGCCCGGCGCCGCGGGTGTTCAGTTTCAGCGCGGGCATGAGCGCAGGCAGCGCCGGGCTCCCCGCGGAAGGAAGGCAGCGAGTGGGGGCCCCGCGTCCTCGTCCTCGGCTGGGGCCTGGCAGCGCCGTGGAGGGGGCTCGGCTAGCGTTGCAGCCGGGAGCGGGGCCGGGCGCGCGTCGAGCCTCCGCCGCCGAAGGGGACACCCGGGAGCCGAAGGGGACGCCCGGGAGCCGCCGCCGCCGAGGGTAACCGCGGGTCGCGCTGCCCGGGCGCCCCCTCCTTTGTGGCGCTGCGAGGGGCGGGTGTGGGTGGCCTCCCGCCCGTGTGCTACAGGGCCGGCGTCGCGGAGCGGCTCTTTGTGTCTCCCCGGGTCGGGTGCGAGTGTGCGGCGCGCTCTTGGCACCTCCCGCGCCCTTCGGGTGCCAGCGTTCCGGGGCCCCTCCCGGCCCTTTCTCCACGGGGAGGCCTCCCGAGCCACCGGGGGAGTTAAGCCAAGTTGGAGGGAAAAAGGTGGGGCGGGGTCGCCCCGCCTCCGCAGCCCCCAGGCAGCGCCCCAAAGTTGGTGCTGCAGGTGCAGCGACCCTCCTGCCGCCCTCCTCCCCGCTGGCCCGGCCCTGGTAGGCGGGAACCCCCAAAGGCTCGGTTCGGGGGCTTCCGATGATCTGCCTCCAACTTGGAGGGTGCCTTGCTGCACAGAAGCCACCTGAGCTGGGGGCGGCCGGGGGCGGCCGAGGCCCAGGCGGAAGCCCGGCTAGCCGGCTGGCCGTGGGGAGAGCTTAGCGGCCGTGGCACTGAGCCGGGGTGCCCATGTGACTGCGGTGTGCTTGGGAAGAGGAAGCTGCAGAGGTCAGTGCAAAGGCGTCACGCCAGAGCGAGCGAGCAAGCCAGCCAGGGGGGAGCCCCGGAGCCAACGCGGGACGGGAGTGGGGGTGGCCTGCCCGCCGCAGGGGCCGGACAAAGCCGCGCTGTTCCAGCCACCCTGGCTCCCCTAATGCCTGCGATCGCAGGGTGGGAGGGGCGGCCAGGCTTGGCGGCCAGGAAATGAGGGACACCGGGAGGAGGGGCCTCTCCAGGAGAGGCAGGTCTGGAAGAGGCGGCCCCAGCTCCCCTAGGGGCCTCTGGATGCTGGAGGGTGACCCAGAGGGCAGATCAGACACAGACTCAACTTGGAGAACTTTCCCTGCACACTGCAGCCAGCTTGCAGCGATTCTTTTCTGCACGTGCTGGGGAGGTCAGGGTTGCGGGGAGCTGGAGGATGGCAGGGTGGGGGTGACCTGGTTAGCCAGGCAGCCCTGGGGCCTGCAGCCCAAGAGGCGAGCTCCTGTCCTGTCCTCTCTGCTGTGGGTACCCGTGGGCATCCAGCTGCCGACAAGAGAAGCACGTTCTCCGGGCTCCGCCCCGCACATACTTAGATTGTTTTCCCTAGACTGTGTTCAGCTGAGGCCTGGAGGTGGTGGAAACCAAGGTTAGATTAAAAAAAGAAAAAACAAAAAACAAAAACCCCAAGTCGAAGAGATGGTTTTAGGGAAATGAGGACTAATATTTTGAAGTGGTGCTTAGAGAGAAGAGGCCAGTGTGGTCCGTGGGGGTGGGGTGGGTGAGGGCTTCAGGACCCCCCCTTTCCTTGGAGAGAAGAGGATCACCAGGCCTTCAGGCGGGGACCCCGCTGGGCCCAGCCGGCCTACAGGTGAGGACGGTGTGGAGCGCAGCGTCGGGACTTTGACCACCCCATTGCCAGCTCCGCAGCCCGCGCCTGTCTTCGTGACAGCCTGCGTCCTGTGCTGTCAACTACACCCCTCCGATGGGGTTGCTAGGCAGCGGGGCTCTGATGTACTGGAAGGCCTTCTGATTTGTCAGCCTCCTGCAGACACATGGTTAAGGCTCCTTCCAGCCTATGGGGAGGAGGGACGCGGGCACGCCGCCTGCATACTGCTGAGCCCCCGGTCCACCTGAAAGCGAGGTGCAAAAGGCAGCCAGAGGGAGGGGGCACCTGGAGCCCTCCTCCTTCTAACCAGCTCAGCCCCACTCCCCGCATTATCTCCACTCGTGCCGGCGCGCTGTTGGCTCCTCCCTGTCCGTCCCCGCCCCATTTCTTCCCTCTTCCCCAAGCCATGGAAAGGCAAAGTGCAGCGGGGAAAAGAGGTCAGTGGGGTAAGCATGTGTTGCGGGCTCCCGAGGTGCCAAGGTGCGTGGGCGTGAGTGGTGGGGAGGCTGCCCATCCATGCCACCCGGGGCTCTTGTGGGAAGGGGCAAGTGGCAGGGAGGGGTCCCTGGCACCGTCATCTGCCAGGCCTGGACTTGGAAGCCTTCTCTGTGTCCCCTCCTCCTTAAGCTCTGCCCCACTCCTAGGAGGGCAGCAGTTGGGGGAGGAGGGGAGCCCTGGGTGTTTCTGCAAGGAAGGGTGGGCTCTCCAGCCCTCCATAGCACTGAGAAGGGGATGGCTGCTGTCCGGTTCCTGCTTCCCCTGGATGCACTCCCCCGCCTCAGCCTCCAAGGTCCAAGTTCTTCCTCCTCCTCCTCTCCCTCTGTGCGTGGCCACCACCCCCAATTTAATTTCTCTTAAATTCTTTACTTGTTTATAACAGCCTTACTGAGACATAATTCACAGACCATTCACCCATGTAAAAGTGTACAATTCAACGGGTTTTAGTATGTTCACAGAGTTTTGCAACCACAGTTAATTTTAGAACATTTTCATCACCCCAGAATGAAACCCTGTACCCATTAGCAGTCATTCCCCATTGTCCTGCCCCCCAGCCCCTGACACCCACTAATCTGCTTTCTGTCTCTATAAGATTTGTCTACTCTGCACATTTTGTGTATGTGAGGCCAGACACCGCGTGGTCTTTTGGAGCTGGAACCCCCCCCTTACTTTTCTAGCTGCATTGCTTACTTGGCAATCAATTGCAGTTTTGTTTTGTGTGTGTGGTTTTTTTTGATCATTTAACTTTTCCTGTGCATTGCTTCTTTAGGAGTGTCCCATAGTTAGGAGCAGGGGTCTTCTGCATTCTTACGCATTTCTCTCAAGGCCAGAGCTGGCTCGGGGCTGGACCTCTGGTTGAATGAATGAGGAGTTGAATGGGGACTGGTAATTGGCAAGCTGTGCAGGTGGTATACAGCTGAATTCCAGGGGGCCCAGCTGCTACAAAGGGGGCTAGCAGCTTGGGAGAACTGCAGGTATCCAAGTTGTGAAGGAGCAGAGAGGAAGCCTCTAACTGGGGGAGGGCAGAGGCAGGGCAAGGGTAGAAAAAAACCAGTGTTAGGAACCTGTAAAGTGGCCTGTGGGTTGCCACTTCTCGCAAGAACCTGAAAACAAGCATATCGCTCCCAGCCTCCGGGGTAGGTAGGCGACCAGTGCTTGAGATTTGTCACCTGATCACAGGGGCTTCCCCCGTGGGGAACTCCGATTACATTTGGATTTTTAAAGAAGAAAAAAAGAAAATTCCCCAGCGTCAGCGTTTATAAAAGGGCGCCAGTTCAGGACCTCTGAAGTCCTTTGCTTACCTCTTGTGATTTAGATCTTGACTTGTGTTCTGTCTCCCTGCCACTGTGCTGCAGGTACTGTCTGATGAGCGTGAAAGGTTGTTTCACCGACTTCCACATCGACTTTGGAGGCACTTCCGTTTGGTACCATGTTTTCCGGGGTGGGAAGGTGAGTTTCAGTTGCCTTTAACTTTTTGTGCATCTCCAGCTGTTTGTGTGGGGAGAGGCTCACTTACCTTTCCCCCTCCTCCCACCTCCCTCCTCTGGACAGCCCTGCCCCAGGAGTACTTTCAGGATTAAAAATTTTTTTTTTTTTTGAGATGAAATCTTGCTCTGTTGCCCAGGCTGGAGTGCAGTGGTGCGATCTTGGCTCACTGCAAGTTCTGCCTCCCAGGTTCACGCCATTCTCCTGCCTCAGCCTCCTGAGTAGCTGAGACTACAGGTGCCTGCCACCACGCCTGGCTAATTTTTTGTAGATTTAGTAGAGACGGGGTTTCACTGTGTTAGCTGGGATGGTCTTGATCTCCTGACCTTGTGATCCGCCCGCCTTGGCCTCCCAAAGTGCTAGGATTACAGGCGTGAGCCACCACGCCCGGCTTTATTTTTATTTTTTATTTTTTATTTTTTATTTTTAAGAGATAGGGCCTTGCTCTGTCACCCAGGGTGGAGTGCAGTGGTGCAATCACAGCTCACTGTAGCCTCCACCTCCTGGGCTCAAGTGATCTTCCCACCTCAGCTCCCGAGTAGCTGGGACTACAGGGATACACCACCAGGCTCAACTAATTTATGTATGTTTTGTAGAGACAGAGTTTCAGCACGTTGCGCAGGCTGTTCTCAAACTCCTGGGCTCACGTGATCCTCTCGCCTTGGCCTTCCAAAGTGCTGGGATTGTAGGCGTGGGCCATGGCTCCTGGCCAAGGGTCGCTCCTTCCCCTAGAACCACCTCCTCCTTCTGGAGGGCAAGGTCAAGTTCAGCCCTTTTACATCACATCTAGACACCCATGCAGGCCTGCTCCGCTCACCCAGTCTGGTGTTCTAAGCCCCTTTGGGCCAGATTTGAAGCTTGGGTTTGGCTTGAGAACGACCAGCATTCATCTTCCCTGGGTGTCTTCTCAGCTCCTGCCCGGGGACCTTCTCACTTCAAAGTCTAGTTGCCAGCACCACCTGCCTCCAGGAACATTTTGCACTGGGGACAGAATGCTAAGGGTGCTCCCTGTGTCTGCTTTTGTTGTGTGTCCACGTGGGGATGGAGGTGGGTGCTTCTTGAAAATACGCCTGTGCCACCCTGCTTGGCTGGGTCTGCATGTGCGTTTGTTGTAACTGAATGTGTTGGAAGAAATTCTGGGAGGAAGTCAACCCACTTGATTCCAGATGTTTTTCCTCCTTCTCCAAAGTGTGCACAAGCTGCGTTTATTTACTGGGCTATTTTATCTTACAACTTAGGAAATTCCCTTCCTCTCCTTCCCCCACCTCCCAGACAAGCCTGTGGTTCTGGAGAAAGCATGTCCCACCCAGTCCAGGAAGTACTCCCATCCTGGGATTTCAGCAGGAATGGAGGTTCCCTGAAGGTGGGCACAGCCCTTCCTGCTTCCCCAGAGGCTCTTTGGACCTGGCCTTGCAGAGGGTCCAGAGAGATGGATCTGTCCATCTCTCCACACCCCGCCCCTTCTCTCGCCCCCTCTCCTTCCCCCAGGCAGGTGGGGCCCTTTCTCTGGATCTGGTCTGGGCCTGGGTCTCCAGCTGACTGCCTGTGTTTCCTCCCAAGATTTTTTGGCTGATTCCTCCAACGCTGCACAATTTGGCGCTGTACGAGGAGTGGGTGCTGTCAGGCAAACAGAGTGACATCTTTCTGGGAGACCGTGTGGAACGATGCCAAAGAATTGAGCTGAAGCAGGGCTACACATTTTTCATCCCTTCCGGTAGGTTCCAAGGGGCTCTCTCTGGGCTCCCCGAGTCTGCTGGGGCCTGAGCCATGGTTTTAGGCCCTGGCTCTGGACCTGATGGGTTTGATAGGCCATTGGCGGTCCCAGGGGAGCCAGCCTTGGGCTGGAGGGAAAAGCCGGGCAGGTTTCCCCTCACATCCCACCTGTATCTACCACCTGCCTGCTGGAATTCTCTCTTCCTGGAGAAGGCCTTGAGCTCTCTCGGGGGAGACTTGAATGCCTGTGCAGGACTTCCTGTGGAGATTTGCATGTTGGGTAATGGGGGTGGGTTTGCCCTGAGGCAGGGTCTGGGGAAGGGCGGTGCACGGCCTCCGGTGGAATTCTGGATTGGCCACTTGGGGGCTGTGACTTCACTTCTTCATGCCTCGGTGTTCCCATCTGTAAACTAGGATTAAGATAAAATAAAACAGGGTGGTTATGAGGCCTGAGTGAGCTAAGACCTCCTTGCCTCCAGTTCATTGGAGATGAATTAAGGGCTTTTGGCTGGTTCCTGGCTCAGTCACTAGTGGATGTGGCTGATGACCTAGGGATCCGGGAATTATCTCTTAGGTTGCATTAATGGAAGCATTCTACCTAGGATGAGGGAGGTGATAGTCCGCTGTGTAGAGGGAGGGGGTAAGGCCACACGTAGGAGCTGTGTTTTTTTTTTTGAGACGGAGTCTCGCTCTGTCACCCAGGCTGGAGTGCAGTCGCCAGATCTCAGCCCACTGCAAGCTCCGCCTCCTGGGTTTACGCCATTCTCCTGCCTCAGCCTCCCGAGTAGCTGGGACTACAGGTGCCCACCACCTCGCCCGGCTAATTTTTTGTATTTTTTAGTAGAGACGGGGTTTCACCGTGTTAGTCAGGATGGTCTTGATCTCCTGACCTCGTGATCTGCCCGTCTCGGCCTCCCAAAGTGCTGGGATTACAGGCTTGAGCCACCGTGCCCGGCCGTGCTGTTTTTTTTTTTTTTTGAGACAGTCTCACTCTGTCACCCAGGCTGGAGTGCAGTGGTGTGATCTCGGCTCACTGCAATCTCCACCTCCCGGGTTCAAGCAATTCTCATGTCTCAGCCTCCCAAGTAGCTGGGATTACAGACATGCGCCAACATGCCCAGCTAATTTTTGTATTTTTAGTAGAGATGGGGTTTTGCCATGTTGTCCCGGCTGGTCTCCAACTCCTGGCCTCAAGGGATTCTCCCTCCTTGGCCTCCCAAAGTGCTAGGATTACAGGTGTGAGCCACTGTGCCTAGCCTATGGGAAGGAGGTTTTGTTCCTCGTAGTCATTGCACTTTGGAGGTTAAATCACCCTGAAGTGGGGTGTGGGTGGGTCTGGAGACCATATTAGGTGAGATGTGTTTGAAGGAGGAATGGGGTTGCTTCACCTGAGAAAGCGAAGGCATACAGTAACTTCAGTCAGCCAGGTAGGTGAAGGACTGTCTCCTGGAAGGAGTATGGCCGAGTGGTATTGGAATAACTTGCTTTGTTAGGTAGTGAGCTCCCTGTCACTGGAGGCATGGAAGTAGAAGGTAGATATGAATGAGTCAAGGTACTTGCAGAGAATCTACAACTGGGTGGAAGCTTGGACCAGACGATAGGAGTATCCTTTGAGGCCACTAAGATATTTCTGAGAGTTGGGCTGGAAGCTGACCTTAGGTCTGGACATCAAGCCCTAGTGGTGGTTGTAGTACCAGTTCCTGCTATGGGGATGGGGCCTGTACTTCGCTATTAGGGAGATTTGGGATTTGGAAGTGGCAGGGTTTAGTACGGGGATGACTTTGTTACCATGGCCCCAGGTCTGTCCTCAGACCTGCTTGGCTCAGGGAAGGGGCAGGCCCCTGCTTGGGATGGAAGGGATTGCACTTGGTGGTCAGCATTTATGGGGACCCCCTGGCAGATGTGGAGTGGAGACTCGGGAAGGAGGTGGTATCCTCCTTCTAAGCTGTGCCCAATCCACTCTGCAGGTGTTGCTGGATTGGCCCTGGATTCAAAGGATGGCTGGAAGGCTCTTGGCCTTACTGCTGACTCGCTTTGTGACATTAGCTGGTCTCTTCCTCTCTCTGCACCTCAGCTCTCCCATCTCTACAGTGGGGGTGGGGTGGAGCTGAACTCTGGGACACTCAAGTTCCCTCCCAACCCCGTCCTCTGAGCCTAACAGGCCTTCAGTCTCTCTGTCCAGCCCTTATGCAGAGCTGGGAGGTGGCTCATCACTTTCCTGCTGTGTGGGACGGTGTGGGTGTTGATGTTGGTGACTTAAGCAAGCTGGGGGAGGTCTTGAGAAGCCGTGGCAGCAGGGGTGTAGGCGTGGCTGTCTGTTGAAGGCAGGAAGAGGAAATGTACATTTGAGATGCTGCAAGCCGAAGTCAGTTAGGTCCTGGCAAAGACTTCTGGCCCGAAGGGTTATGCGTTGAGATACCAGGATTTTTTTCCCTGGAGTTTTGGGAAGTACAAAAGGGACAGTTGGAATTTACCACCCTCTGAGATACAGGAGTGGGGTAGGGTGGGAGGGTGCAGCATAGTTCAGCGGTTCCCAGCCATTGATTTCATGGACCAGTGAAAAAAAACTTAGGAACAGATACAGAGTTGCCAACTTGTAATTTTGCTAAACATGGGCATTAAGATCAACAAACCCCATGGTCTATTCTGACACTAAAAAAGTTACAAGTATAAAATGTCAGAATAAAGGATAGTACTTTAACTTTGATAGTTTTTCTCATTCTGTTTCCAACCAGTGAAAACTAAAGGACCAGAGACTGGGGGTCCACTGACCTAGATGAGTAATTTTTTTTTTTTTCTTTTTTTTTTTTTTTTTTTGAGATGGAGTCTTGCTCTGTTGCCAGGCTGGAGCGTGGTGGCATGATCTTGGCTCACTGCAACTTCCGCCTCCTGTGTTCAAGCGATTCTCCTGCCTCAGCTTCCCCAATAGCTAAGATTACAGGTACACACCACCATGCCCGGCTAATTTTTGTATTTTTAGTAGCAACGGGATTTTGCCATGTTGTCCAGGCAGGTCTCGAACTCCTGGGCTCAAATGATCTACCCACCTTGGCCTCCCAAAATGCTGGGGTTACAGACATGAGCCACTGTGCCCAGCCCCTAGATGAGTATTTTAGGTCTTCCCCAGGCCTGGGGATTCTCTCCGGCATTTACACCCTCTGAGCCACATACAGACACACATCTGAGATTCGTGGTACTTGACTTGTGGCTTTGCGGAGAGAGAGAGAGTCTTGGGAAACCTAGGAAGGGTTTGCAGCTCCCTGGATGGGAGCTTTTCCGTACTGAAGTGGAGAATCGAATTCTGGTGTTTCCCACCTCTGACCTGAGTTTTCATCACCACAGTGTGACTTAGGCACCTCTCCTCCTGCCACACTGACCTCACACCTCCCAGTCCGTGGTTCAGGGAGTCTTCAGTTCTCTGAAAGCTCACAGGATGCTGATGGTTTAGGAAAACTTTCATCAAAAAGGGATGCTGGATTTTGTCAAATGCTCTTTCTGTGTCTGTTGAGATGATCATATGATTTTTTATTTTTAATTCTGTTTATGTGGTGTATCACATTTATTGACATGTGTTTGTTAAAGCATCCCTGGTATGAAACCCACTCGATCATGGAGGGATTATCTTGTTGATATGCTGTTGGATTTAGTTAGCTAGTATTTCGTGGAGGTTTTTTGCCTCTATGTTCATCAGGGATATTGGTCTTTAGTTTTCTTTTTTTGTTATGTCTTTTCCTGGTTTGGGTATTAGGGTGATACTGGCTTCATAGAATGATTTAGGGAGGATTCTTTCTTTTCCTCTCTTTTGGAATAGTGTCAACAGGATCGGTACCAAGTCATCTTTGTTTTGTTTTGGTTTTTTGAGACAGAGTTTCACTCTTGTCGCCCAAGCTGGAGTGCAGTGGCACGATCTTGGCTCACTGTAACCTCCGCCTCCCAGGTTCAAGTGATTCTCCAGCCATAGACTCCCAAGTACCTGGGATTACAGGCATGTGCTGCCATGCCTGGCTAATTTTTGTATTTTTAGTAGAGACAGGGTTTTTCCATGTTGGTCAACCTGGTCTCAAATTCCTGGCCTCAAGTGATCCTGCTGCCTCAGCCTCCCAAAGTGCTAGGATTACAGGCATGAGTCACCGCGCTCGGCTGCCAAGGAAGATTTTAAATGGCACTATTCTTCAGGCTTTATTCCTAGGTAATCTAGGAGAGCTGCCTGGAAGAGGAAGACTGTTGAAGGTGACTGAGGAGTAGAATAACCTGGAGAAAGGGGTTTGAGCTTGCCCTGCTGAGCTGGCCATACCTTGATGAGGCAGAGGAGGTGAGAATACAGCGTCAGGGTCAGGACATCAAGGCCACAGTCAGCAGTGCCTAGGGGTCACCAGGTGTTAGCGTTATAATTAGCAGTAAGGAAAGCTGGAGGTGGAAGTCACCCCTGGGGAATAGGGGATTGGAAACTTTTAAGTACCTAGGGTGAACCAGGTGATGTCTTTTTCCTCTAACTCAACCTGGCCTATGGCAGCATCCTGGTCACATTGGCGGGCTCGGCCTCCCCACTCTGACTGTGCCAGCCTGGGTGAGCTATAGTTAACAGTTATAAGCAATGAACATTTACAAATTTTATTTTATTTTATTGAGTCAGGGTCTTACTCTGTTGCCCAGGCTGGAGTAACATGGCTTGATCCAGTGAACATTTTATGTACATTATTTATCTTCTCTGCAAGCATTTATGGAAAAATTTAATATTCCCCACCTATTTAAAAAAAAAATTTTTTTTAGGCTGGGCACAGTGGCTCACACGTGTAATCCCAGCACTTTGGGAGGCCAAGGCGGGCAGATGACGAGGTCAGGAGATCGAGACCATCCTGGCTAACATGGTGAAACCCTGTCTCTACTAAAAATACCAAAAAAAAAAAAAAAAATTAGCTGGGTGTGGTGGCGGGTGCCTGTAGTTCCCAGATACTCGGGAGGCTGAGGGAGGAGAATGGCGTGAACCTGGGAGGCAGAGCTTGCAGTGAGCCGAGATTGCGCCAGTGCACTCCAGCCTGGGTGACAGAGCAAAAGACTGTCTCAAAAAAAAAAAAAGAAAAAAAATTTTAATTTTTGAGACAAGAGTTTTGCTCTCATTGCCCAGGCTGGAGTGCAATGGCACGATCTCACGATCTCAGCTCACTGCAACCTCTGCCTCCCGGGTTCAAGCGATTCTCCTGCCTCAGCCTCCTGAGTAGCTGGGATCACAAGCATGCGCCACTATGCCCAGCTAATTTTTGTAGTTTTAGTAGAAATGGGGTTTTACTGTGTTTCCCAGGCTAGTCTTGAACTCCTGACCTCAGGTGATCTGCCCATCTCAGCCTCCCCAAGTGCTGGGATTACAGGTGTGAGCCACTGTGCCAGGCTAAGAAAAAATTTAAATTTTGTTTTAGAGACAGGGTCTTGCTCTTTTGCCCAGGCTGGAGTGCAATGGTGTGATCACAGCTCATTGCAGCTTTGCCTTGACCTCCTGGGCTTAAACAATCGTCCTATCCCAGCCTCTAGAGTAGCTGGGACTACAGGCATGTGACACCGTTTTTTTTAAACAAATACAGAAAATACCTAAGGCCTAAGATCTCACAGTGACCAGGTCAGAGTAAGAACCCAGGTGTGCCTACTTTCAAAACACACATTCCTAAGTATACCTACCTTGAACCCCAGTAGCTTGGGAGTCAGGAGACTTGGGATCTGGGCCTCCTTTTTGACTCTGTGACTATGTGTGAACTATTTGCTCATTTAACAAACTACTTTTTTTTTCCCTGAAGCGGAGTCTTGCTCTGTCACCCAGGCTGGAGTGCAATGGCACCATACAGTGAAACTCTGTCTTTTGAAACTCTATCTCAAAAGAAACAAAAACCAACAAAACAACAACAAAAGAAATATCTCCATTTTTAAATATGGGGTGGTGTGAAGTAATTGGCCCCGATCCCAACTATGAGGTCCTTGAAGGGAGAGGCTATCCTCACTTCATCTCAGCAGCCACAGGGCCATTCCTGATCCTGGCCCGGTGCAGGGAGTTCACTGATGTCAGTGAAGGAAGCCAGGGTCCGATTGGGTTGTGGGCATCTGTGAGGTGCCCCGGGTCGAGTTCTGAGACCTCTGTGTTTATTCCTGCCAAAGTCGCAGAGCTGGAGGCAGGTGTGGGTGGGGCCTTTGGATTCTGAGTCCTGAGCGTCTTGGTTGTGGGTGAAACTCCACGTGCCCCTGCTGCCCTTCTTGGACCCCCTCAGGTCCCAGAGAATGTGCTGCTTTGTGGATCACTGGCTTCCCATCCATGACTGCATCTGTCCCTGGTTGCTTGGCCTGAATAGCCTCTGTTTATTGCCTTCATATTGTCGACGACTCTGGCTGGAAGCTGGAGGCAGATGCCAGCGTCCCCAGCCCAGGCAGCAGCCCGGGAACACCGGCTCTCATGCTTCCTGGGCTGTCAAGAGGCCATCAGGGGCAGTACGGATGGGCCCACGAACGCTGTTATTTCCACGCCTCCTTCCCGAGGGAGGCGTGTGGGTAATGAAGCAGATGTGAGCAGAGCTGGGGGAGGGACGTAGTGGTGGCTAATCCAGGGGTGGCCGCCTGACCCACCCTTGAGGCCTTGCTGGGAAGGGGAGTGGGTAGAAGCTTCTAGAATCCCTTGAGCGTCTGGGCGTGCAGCTCCCCTGCCCCCTCCTTGCAGCAGCAGCCTCTTCTGTGTTCCTCTTTGCTCACGCATCAGGGCAACAGATGTAAGTCAGGTGTGTCGGCCTCTGCACCTGCCAGGAGAATAGGGAGAGTCCAGGGCTGGTAAAGATGGATGCACGTGGGCATCATCCTCTACCAAAGCCCTCATGATCGACTGAGACGACCACAGATACCAATGCCAGTTGCTTATATGGGTTCAGGACTTGCTCAGCAAGTTCCCCAGAAGGGAGGGGAGTGGAGGGGACAGGCTGGAATCCCAGCCCCTGGACTTGGGCTTTCTGCAGGGAGGGAGGTGGACTTGTGAGGCCGTATAAGACGCACCTGCATCTTATACGCACCATCCTCGTTGCCTGTACAACTAGGAAATGTTGCCAGGATAACGGGGCTGGCGACAGTAACAACATTCAATGGCATGGTTCCACTTCGTGGAAACATGGAAATGTTGAGGTCAGCCTGCAGGCAGCAGAGGCAGGAGACTGAAGCGGATGTGGAGACAGAGGCTCTTTCAGGGCGGCAGCCATGCTCCTGTGCAGAGGAGGGTGAAGGTGGTGGGGTGGGAAGCTGGGGTGCTCGACAGCCGCTTGCAACTGCACACCTGGTCAGCACAGCAGCTGTCTTTCATGGCCCACGCCAGAGGCTCTGGAAGCCAGGCACAGAATGAGGTTCCCTAAAGCAAAGCCCTCGTGCTTCTACTGGGCGGCACTGGGCTCCTGGTGACGAGCTTTGCCTTGCTCTCCCCTGAGGATGGCCAGCTCTGTTCCATGCGTTGCCCTGGTGGGGAGAGCCAGCGACTGAGTGTCCATTGCAGATGCCAGCAGTAGCCTCACAGTCTGTGCTGTCTTCCAGGCGGTAGCGTTGCTCCCAGCAGCGGTGACCACCCATGACTCAAGGCTGGCGTGTTTCATTGGGGGAAAGAGACTGGAACCGCTCGGGCTTGGGGGGCAGGGGCAGTTGCTGTAATTTTCCTCAGAGCAAAAGAATAAAGTGCATGGCCGGGAGAGGAGGGGACTGCGGCCTCCAGGGCCAGGCCCTTCAGGGTGCAGTGTCTTGGGGTGCCGCCACCCTTCCCTCTCCTGCACCCATCCCCCAGCCGACCCTCCTCTGTCCTTCACTGTGAGTCGCTCCGCCTCTGTCCGCCCTTGTCCTTATTTCTCTCTGCGTTTCTCCTTTTGCCTCCCCTCTGTATTTCCCTGCCTGTCCCCCGGGACTCACAGGCCTGTGCGGAGCCATTAATGCAGCGGCAGCTGTACAGCGTGGTGGCTAAAAACGGAGCTGCTGTCGCTTGCCAGCTGTGATTCGTTCAGCAAGTGACTTTCCCCTTTGTGCCCTCAGTTTCAGCATCTGTGAATTGGGGTTGATTCTCCTCCTGCCCATCCCCTAGCCCCACGCTGTGTGACCCGGCAGTCAGGAGCCACACACATGTCACCTGAGTACTTGCAGTATGACCACTGTGAATTGCAATGCGTTAGCTCTGTGTCCCAGTGAATGAGGGGCTTTCTCCCAGCCTTCATGGACCGTGCGGAGCCCGACTTCCCGGGCTCAAAATCCTGATAGATGACTTCATTTTTCTGTGCCTCACTTTCCTCATCCGTAATTTTTGTTGTTGTTTTTGACTCTGTCCCCCAGGCTGGAGTACAGTGACACGATCTTGGCTCACTGCAACCTCCACCTCCCAGGTTCAAGGAATTCTCATGCCTCCATCTCCCAAGTAGCTGGGATGATAGGCATGTGCCACCACGCCTGGCTAATTTTTGTATTTTTAGTAGACACGGGTTTCGCCATATTGGCCAGGCTGGTCTCGAACTCCTGACCTCAGGTGATCCTTCTGCCTCGACCTTCCAAAGTGCTGGGATTATAGGCATAAGCCACCGGGCCTGGCCCTCATCTGTAAATTGAGGTTGAATATAGTATACACTTTTTAGGGATATCATGAGAATTAATGAGTTAAGGCCCAGAAAGCCCTTAGACCACTGTGCCTGGCACAAGGTGGGCCCTCTATTGTCCTTTTTTCTTTTTTTTTCTCTTTGAGATGGTCTTGCTCTCTTACCCAGACTGGAGTGCAGGGGCGTTATCACAGCTCACTGAAGCCTCAAACTCTGGAGCTCGAGTGATCCTCCCACCATAGCCTCCTGAGTAGCTGGGACAACAGGTGTGCACCACCATGCCCCGCTATTTATTTATTTTTTTAGAGATGAGGTCTTACTATATTGCCCGGGCTGATCTCAAACTCCTGAGCTCAAGGTCTTCGCACCTCAGCCTCCCAAAGTGCTGGGATCACAGAGGTGCACCACTACACCTGGCCCTGCCTCCATTTCCCTTGTGATGGTGACTGTGTCTGGCTCCAGGCTGGGAGCCTGAAGAGATGGAAACCTGAAGCTCCCAGCTGTGAGAAGCTGCAGGAGAGACTTACCAGCAGCCAGCAGCCCGTGGGGTAGAGTTGAGGGCAGAGCTGAGGGGGGCATGCAGGCATTGTGTGACCAAGGAGACCATGTGGAAAGGGGCCTGGGTGGAGTGTGATAACAAGAAGATGGACTTGGGCGGAGGAAAGTGCTTGGGTCCTGCAGCTCTGGCAAGACGTCAGTCCTTCGTCATGGTTCCAAACATCCTTTGTGACCCCTGTGGGATGGTGGGGAAAGGCTCTGGACGTATGTGCTACCTGGGAGGGGAGGCAGGACTCCCTGGCCCGTGTGTAGGTGGGGAAAGGGCCTGCCTCTCTGCTGGCCTTTGCAGCCAGGTCCCTGGAGGAAGCTTTTGTCATCACAGTCCTCAAGAAGTGGGGGCTGATCTGCAGCTTCCCAGCTCCTGACTTGAGCCGGGCAGTGGCTGCTCAGGGCTGCAAGTGTGTCTTCTCGGCGACCCAGGCCTGGGTGTTCCGCAGCAGGCATCGCTGGGCACCGCTGCTCCAGGCCCTGGCTGCTCTTCTCCACTCCCTGTGCTCTCCTGCACGCTTGCTCTCCCTCCCTGCAGCCTTGTGAGGTGTAGGAGCCCACAGGGGCCAGCGACTCATCCTCTCCTTGCCCTTCCCACCCCAGGTTGGATCCATGCCGTCTACACCCCTGTAGACTCTTTGGTATTCGGCGGAAACATCCTGCACAGCTTTAACGTGCCCATGCAGCTGCGGATCTATGAGATCGAGGACAGGACGCGGGTAAGGAGGTTCCCTTCTCTCCTCGCGTGCGCGCCCGGCCCCTGAGCTCTGCCGGTACTCCGTGTGTGGGACAGGTCATGCTGAAGTCCTCCACAGTTGCCCCTCTCCCTCTCGCTTCCTGCCTCAAGCTGGCCTCAGTTCTGGTTCTGCAGGGCGGGGGGCAGGGGAATGCCCGCAGGAGCCCCACCCGGAGGCCCTGGAGTTTCTGTTCACCTCCAGGTTGGGGGCAGCCAAAACCCCCTTGGGGAAGAGGAAGTACCTCTGAGAAAGCACCGTGAGATTTCAGGGACCCTGCCTCTTCCGCCTTCTCACATGGAGAAAGTGGTGCGAGGGATTGGGGGATTTGGTCACTGTTGTTTGGAGGATGGGTGTGGATCTTGGAAGGGCCTGGCCTGGTCCGAGGTCAGGTCTTGGCTATGTGTTTTCCCCAGGGACCCCAGATCTGACTGGGGAGAGACCCTGAGGAAGCCAGTGTCTGAGTCCCCTGGGTACTGTCTCTGAGCTAGTCTCCATATGTGCTGGGGACGTCCCTAGTTCCCTGGGGCCGAGGCTTTTCTCTGCCCTTGATGGGGACAGTGCTAGTTTCCCACACATCAAGTTTCCTTTACTCATCCCGTGTCCTAGGACCAAGGGCGGAGGCTCAGGTGACTGATGTGTGTCCTTTGCTCCATGAGTGTCCCTGAAAAGGACAAGTGGCCTGACCTTGCCACCACCTTTCTCATGCTAGGACTTGATCACGTGCCCCCAGGCACGTAAGACAAGTCCCAAACTGGGTAAAAAACTGAAGACTTGGGGCCGGGCGTGGTGGCTCACGCCTGTAATCCCAGCACTTTGGGAGGCGGAGGTGGGTGGATCACTTGAGGTCAGGAGTTCGAGGCCAGCCTGGCCAACATGATGAAACCCTGTCTTTACCAAAAATACCAAAAAGCCAGGCGTGGTGGTGCGAGCCTGTAGTCCCAGCCACTTGGGAGGCTGTGGTGGGAGGGTGGTTTGAGCCTGGGAGGTGGAGGTTGCAGTGAACTGAGATCGCGCCACTGCACTCCATCCTGGGCAACAGAGCCAGACCTGTCTCATACATAAAACAAAACAAAACAAAACAAACCCTGGAGACTTGGGTCAAAAAAGACCCATTTTTCGTTCTACTAGTTCCTGTTTTTTCAACACAGCTATTCAAATATTCATTTTCTTTTATTTAAATTGAGCTATAATTCATATACCCTAAAATTTACCATTCAAAGTATACAATTCAGTGGTTTTTAGTGTCTTTACACGGTTGTGTCATCATCACCACTAATTCCAGAACATTTTCATCACTCCGAAAAGAAACCTTGTACCCACAAGCAGTCACTTCCCGTTTCTCCCCGCCTTTCTCCTGGCTAGCCCTAATCTATTTTCTATCTCTGTGGATTTGCCTATTCTGGACATCCGATGTAATTGGAGTCATTCAATGTGTGGCCTTTTGTGTCTGGTTTCTTTCACGTAGCATAATGATTTCCAGGTTCATCCACATTGTAGCATGTGCCAGAGCTTCATTCCTTTTCATGGCTGAATAATATTCCATTCTGTAGCCAGACCACACCATTTCTTCTTGGGATTTGCCTCTGAGATGACTTTTTGCCCTGGTGAGGTGTTGCTCTGCGTAGATCTAAGGAGAGTTCTCACAAGGGCACCTGCTCTGTACCGAGCCCCTGTCTCTGCTGGTCTTGTTTTCAGGCCTTGGTTTGCACAAAATCACATACGTGAGCAAAGTATTAGCTACCGCCTTTGTATCCGAACATTGAACAGTCTCGGCATTGCGGCCCCTTGTCTGGGGGTTTCCTGGAGACCACTCGGAGCTGTGTTCGGTGGTCAGATGTTGTGAGGCGTGTGTACCTCTTCAGATTGATGCGTGACGCCTAGATCTGCAGAGACCTGGGTCTGGACTGGGGTCCCGTGGGAGGCCCTCGTTTTGTGGACTTTCTCCTGTCTCCTCTCTGTGGCCTGCCATCCCCGTCCCACCTGGGGAAGGCCAGCCCCCACCCTGCTCTGGAGGAGCCGCCCCGTGGCGTTCAGGAAAAGAAAGGCACTGTTTGGACACAAGCGGCCATCTCACAGTCTGGGTCAATGCTGCCGGGGCTCCGGCCAACTGTTCTTTGGCCTGTCCTGGAGTACAGGCCAGTTTGTGCACGAGCAGATGTGTGGAATAGAGACGGAGAAATCTAGTAGAAGTCAGGTCCACGACTTTCCAGGCAATTCCTGAAAGCTGGAGTCAGGCTGGGATTTCTAAAGGCTGTGACAACTTGCTGGACAACCACCCCATCCCCCTGGGAATTCAATTGTAAAGTCAGTGGATTTGGGCCCCATGGTTCCCTTAGGAGCCCAGCTCCCCTCCCCCACCCATGACAATCGGCAGGGTGCTGGCCGGACCCCGAGTGTCACACTGAGCTTATGTGGAATATCACATCCTCATCGAGAATGGCAGGTCCGCTCCCCAACCGGGGCCTACTGTCCCTTCCCTTGAGTGGGCACCCCATCTGGTTTCAGTGAAGCAGGCTCGCAGCGGGGGGCTCGGGGCAGACTGGGCTGGGAACAGTGGCAGGCTGTTTAATCTGCTTTGATTTCTAATCTTGGGAGAGGGGCTTGGCTACTAGGCCCAATTGTTTATGCCTTAGGAGCCAGGGCAGACAAAAGGCACTGGGGAGGGAGTTCTGGAACCAGATAAGATGCCAGGGCTCCTTGTCAGCTCACTACAGCTTCATTCTTTACAGCCCTGAGAGCTTTCTTAAGGAGGTTATGGCCATTTAAAAATTGGTGTTTTAAAGGCTGGGCATGGTGGCTTATGCCTGTAATCGCAGCACTTTTGGGAGGCTGAGGTGGGGGGATTACCTGAGGTCAGGAGTTCGAGATCAACCTGGCCAACACAGTGAAACCGCGTCTCTACTAAAAATACAAAAATGAGCCGGGCTTGGTGGTGCATGCCTGTAATCACAGTTACGTGGGAGGCTGAGGCAGGAGAATCGCTTGAACCCATGAGGCAAAGGTTGCAGTGAGCTGAGATTGCAGCACTACACTCCAGCCTGGGCAACAAGAGCAAAACTCCATCTCAAGAAAAAAAAAAAAAAAAAAGGTGTTTTAAGAGTCCTAAAACATGGCTTTGCCTGGAAACCAAATGCAGGAGGTGGGAAAGAGGGAACCATCCGTCTCCAAGCTCCGTGGTGTGGCTTTGTCTTAGAAAAAGAATTTGCCTGGCCGGGCGCCAGTGGCTCATGCCTGTAATCCCAGCACTTTGGGAGGCCAAGGCAGGCGGATGATCTGAGGTCAGGAGTTCAAGACCGGCCTGGCCAACATGGTGAAACCTCATCTTTACTGAAAAAATACAAAAATTAGCCAGGCGTGGTGGTGCACGCCTATAGTCCCAGCTAATCAGTAGGTTGAGGCAGAATTGCTTGAACCCAGGAGGCGGAGGTTGCAGCGCGCTTAGATTGAGCCATTGCACTCCAACCTGGGCAACAGAATGAGACTCCATCTCAAAAAAAAAAAAAGAAAAAAAAAAAAAGAATTTGCCTTTGTGGCCCAAGGTGGGGACCCCTATCTAAACTAGGAAATTCCAGGGTTCTCTAGGAAGCTGTGTCTTACCCTCACCATTTAAACTTTTCTGGTAAGATGATAGGTGACCCCATCCTGCAGTGTCACTGCCCACGAGGCTGCACAAACAGATACAGGCATTTGGGGACTAGTGGATTTCCATTCCCCAGCCCTTGTAGCGAGTGGATATGTTGTGTGTTTGGTACCTAAAACATCTTGATAATCACTACATTCTTTTAACTTCAGTGAGGTTGATAAGGAATAGATATGGTCCAAATGATCATTAAACTGCCATCTCTCTTATATTTATCTTTTATTTATCTCCCCCCCACCTCCCCACCCCGCCCAATGGCTCTAGTGAAAGCAGCCTTCCCAGAAAAGGTAATGCCGACACGCCCCATTCCCTCACAGCCAGTGAATCTATTTGGAAATTGCAAATAATTTACCTTCCCTCTCCCCTTCCCCCTATCATTGGACTTTTTTTTTTTTTTTCCCATTGATTTTTTTTTTTTTTTTTTTTTTTTTT